CTTTCGGATCGTCGGTGAAAAAAAAATGATTTTCGTCACCATCTATGTCGACGATTTCTTAATCTTCACCAACGATGCCAAGTCAAAGCGGAAGCTGAAGATGTTCCTTGATAACCGTTTCAAAATGAAGGACCTTGGCGAAGCGACTTTCTGTCTCGGATTGAAGATCACGCTGGATAGGAAGAAAGGGAAGCTGTGGGTAGATCAGGAGCACTACATCGACAGCATTTTACGACGGTTCAACCAGCGGAGGCTAGTATCAGACTGGATAAGTCGATGGCACCGGCGAGCCAAGAAGAGATCCTTGAAATGAAGCAAGTTCCTTATCAGGAGGCAGTTGGCTGTGTCACCTATCTGGCGCAAGCGACGCGGCCAGACATCAGTTTTGCGGTCAACCAAGTTAGCCAATTCAACAGCAATCCCGGCCGTAGCCACTGGAACGCTGTTAAGCGAATCATCCGGTACCTGCGAGGTACTGGTACAGTACGGCTGACATACTCGAAGGAGCACTGCGCGGATTTGGTTGGTTACACAGATGCCGATTGGGGAGGAGATCCGGATTCCAGGAAATCCACCACCGGATATGTTTTCACGTTCATGGGAGGAGCAGTGTCTTGGAACGTTAAGCGATAACCAACAGTGGCGCTATCCTCGTGCGAAGCGGAATATATCGCGCTTTCCCGCACCATCCAGGAAGCATTATGGTGGCATCATTTCCAGTCGCAGATTTTTGGCATTCAAGGGATTCCGCTCCGGTGCGACAATCAATCAGCCATCTGTATCGCACGCAATCAAGGCTACAATCCCAGGACCAAGCATCTGGACATCAGGTACCATTTCGTCAAAGATGTGCTAGAAAGAGGAGTCGTCGAGCTGGGATATGTTAGCACGAAGCAGCAACCAGCAGACGGTTTCACCAAACCGCTGATGAATCAGAAGCTGGAAGAATGTAAGACATTATTAGGATTCGTAGCTTAGGAGGGAGTGTTAGAAGACATTGAAGCAACCTACGATTTCCTATACTTTGTACATAATGCCTTATATACTACTGTAGCTTAGCAACAGTAGTTGTTGATTAGAAATAAATTTTCACTAGTCTTTAGTCACTCGAACCGAGCGGACTTACTTTCTTTTACTCTGCAAAAAATTCCCTTCGAGAGAAACACCTTCTCGATCGCCAATAACCGCCATCGTGATTCCCCATTATGTCCACAGGACCCCGTAGTTTACCGCTGGAAATTCATTCACGGCGTGGTCAGACCCCGTAGTGTCCGTCATTCGGCATACGACGCGGTTAGACTCGGAGCATCTTCCGATACGAAGGTACCCGGGAATACAAACCAACAGCCCATCGACCGTTAGACGCCACGAGTATAGTGAGGAGAGAGAGAGAGAGAGATCGTAGAGCCGTCGCGGAAAGTATCGAAGTACGCGACCGACTTGCGAACCACGTCGAGGGTTCAAAGTCGAAGGAAAGGAACCGACTGGACTGTGAAAAGTGCCCAGAAGGAAGCTGAGGAAGGTGAAGGAGTAGCTGTGGAAGGACCAACAGCGGGCCCGCGCTGAAGAACAAGAAGAAACGTTAGGCGAAACGAGGTAGGAGATAGCCAATAAGAAAGTGGGGCGAAAGGGGGAACAATAAAGGTACCTGTAGCTTAACAAGTGTTGAGTGTGTTGGATATTTGAGTGTTTCCTTGGCCGTGATATTCGAGCGCGCTGCCGACCCTGAGGTAGTGTATAGGGGGGTCTCGTTAGTGCTGGGCAGGGAGTACCCCATCTGTTACAGTATAATTCGACAGTGAGCATGCATAAGGGCCTATACGCGATGATCGATTCTCTTCATCGATTTTCTCTTTGCATTGCTACAGCTAGGCGAAATAATTTTCTAGAATTTGTTCAATGCAGAGTAGTAACAGGTTGTATTGGCTATCAAAAGCAACAGCAAACACACCGAGAAACGTTAAATCTAGCGAGTTATTAACAAAAGACAAAATCGACGAAGAGAATCGATCATCGCGTATAGGCCCTTATGCATGCTCACTGTCGAATTTGTCAATTTGAGAATTTAACGTGTTTCGCTGTGAGATCCTAATTCTAGTAACCACTTCGAAACTTTAAGTGCACGAATATCAGCATCCTGAATACGTACCACAATGAAACTTTTACTCCACGTTTGCTTCACTGTAGCATACATAAAGGGTGATACGGTCAAAATTTGGTCAATATCAACTTGACGTATTTCTTTCAATTTTGCATTTAAAAAACCTGAACACCCCTCATTTTGAAGGTGTGTGTGTGTAGAATGTTGCTCCTATTTTGATTTTGGAATTCACTCTTCAGTTGTCAAAATGCCGTCCAAGCCAGAAGAGCAGCGTATCAAAATTTTGCTCGCGCATCGCGAAAATCCGAGCTACTCGCACGCAAAGTTGGCAAAATCGCTAAAAGTTGCCAAATCAACCGTTACAAATGTAATTAAAGTGTTTGGGGAACGTTTGTCGACAGCCAGGAAGTCTGGATCGGGGGGAAATCGAAAACCGAAAGCCGCTGAGACGACAAAGAGAGTTGCCGGTAGTTTCAAGCGAAGCCCTAACCTCTCTCTCCGAGATGCCGCAAATAAGCTGGGTGTATCGTCTACAACCGTGCATCGAGCCAAAAAACGAGCCGGACTATCGACTTACAAGAAGGTAGTGACTCCAAATCGCGATGATAAACAAAATACGACGGCCAAAGCGCGATCCCGGAGGCTGTACACGACGATGCTGACGAAGTTTGACTGCGTGGTAATGGACGACGAAACCTACGTCAAAGCCGACTACAAGCAGCTTCCGGGACAGGAGTTTTATACGGCAAAAGGAAGGGGAAAGGTAGAAGATGTTTTCAAGCACATGAAACTGTCAAAGTTCGCAAAGAAATATCTGGTTTGGCAAGCCATCTGTACCTGTGGCTTGAAAAGCAGCATTTTCATAGCTTCCGGGACTGTCAACCAAGAAATTTACGTGAAAGAGTGTTTGAATAAACGTCTGCTGCCTTTCCTGAAGAAACACGGTTGTTCCGTACTGTTTTGGCCGGATTTGGCATCTTGCCATTACGGTAAAAAGGCCATGGAGTGGTACGCCGCCAACAACGTGCAGGTGGTTCCCAAGGACAAGAACCCTCCCAACACGCCAGAGCTCCGCCCAATTGAGAAATACTGGGCTATTGTCAAGCGGAACCTAAAGAAGACCAAAAAAACTGCTAAGGGCGAGCAGCAGTTCAAGGCAAACTGGCTTTCTGCGGCGAAGAAGGTGGACAAGGTGGCTGTACAAAATCTGATGGCAGGGGTCAAGCGTAAGGCCCGGCAATTCGGATTTGGAAAAGCGGAAGCCTAACTGAATATTTTTCCTGAATTTTATACTAATTGAACTTGAAAAAGAAATTTAATTTGATTTTTTAAATAAACGATTTCACCGATTTACACGCGTTTTCCCTTGACCAAATTTTGACCGTATCACCCTTTAAAGTAGCAATTTCAGGTGAAATGAGGCACTAATTTCTAAGATTTGTGCAATTGAAAATTCGAATTGGAAGTGCATGTGGCGGTTATTTGTGGACTCACCTTAAAGTGTGAATTAATTGGTACGGAAAGCTCACGATACTCAAACTGGCTTGTATGTATATCACGGGAATTCGGAAGATCATTGGGAAGTTCTGTTGCAGCAAATAATTCACACGACATTCCTTGTTGAAATACGTCAAATAGCTCTATTTCTTTTCTGTTTCTGTAGGTTGCTGTGTTCACACTCAACTAGTGATTAATCATAGATCACAGACAGTTTCATAAATTCTTATGCCCCTCTATTCCCTACAGTAAGGAAACGGCAATCGGAGTTGAACTAGTGCTTAGATTAAATTTGTGCTTTACTTTCAGCTGATCATTAGCACTCTAGTTAGACACAGCAGCCAATACGGTCATTTAAACTCCTAAAATTAGTAATTGATGTGCTAAAGTTGATATTATTACAGTTAGTCAGTTCAGTTAGATCGATGCTTATTGAACTTTGCGGAGGGTTCAATCCCAGCCGAGGTCGGTGGGAGTTTTCTGAGGCATACAAATCTCTTGTCACGTCTTCCTTCGGAAGGGAAGTTAAGCCGTTGGTCCCGGCCCATGTGTGTTGTGAATGGGTGCGATATCCTACGCAGGTATGGCAATCGATGTCCGTCGGTGGTTGGCACTAGATTGCGGAACAGAGACCGACGTTAAATAAAAGGAAAAAAAGGAACTTTGCGGAGAAAAATGTCCGAGTGTGGCAAATGTGGTCTTGGGCACTCCCACGGTTGGGTGTAGTATTAATCAGCCCGTAATCTCCGGAACCATGTGACCGATTCCAAACATATTTAATAGCGTTCTATGGGACCACGTTACCTATCGTTTAGCTTAGCGAGAAGCTTCTTCGTCTGTGAATTTTCCGCTCCATCCACATTTGCCATGTCAGACAGACAGATTGATGACTGTATAGTAGAAACATCTCGCGTGGCGTTTATTGCTTTGTAAATTCCTACAGGATCCTTATCGCTCGTTGAAGCATTTTGTGGGCATGAATTCTTTGTTTGTGGCATCACTTTTGTCATCATTCAAAATCATTTTACTGTTGAAGAGAAGGGTAATAAAGGAAACGTTATAACCCATTCTGGACTGTCATTCAGAGAACGAGTCAAAATTCCATCGCGACGGGAAATGTCACCATCGTCGGTCGTTGCCTTTGGATATGGTGACGAATCCCAGCGCATTCCGGAAAGGCGAAGGCACAAGTAATGAATTCAATTGCAAGAAGGGCGGAAGCGGAACAACGCATGTGCCCGGAGAAAATCCTGTTTCAATCAACCTTCAACTGGCCAAACGCTTAAGGCTTAATCCAATTCGCGCTCGCAATTTGTTTGCTATATTTAATTATTGCATTTTCCGCTTTCGACTGGCAATTTGTTTTAATTTTCCCATTGTTCTTTATTTTTTTTATTTTCAGCGGGCACTCGAGATCGATGGCAGCCGGACGACTGGAGAACGTCACCCAAACTATTTCTAGGATATTGGAAGGTTACGACATTCGGTTGCGGCCAAACTTTGGCGGTAGGTATCATCCTCCGCTGTTTCGTGTTAATAATTAATTTAGCCGGAAAACCCCACTTCGAATCCGGAAAAGCGCGCACTCCAATTATAGCTTCGCTACTAAACAAATATGGCGATATGGTACTCCAACTTTTTCCGGGCGGAACTTTTCCAATTAAATTTAAATATCCTTGTTTGTGGATCCGGACATGAGTCACCTCATGCATGAAAGATTAAAAGAAACAGACCCCGCAATCTTCTCAATGGATCACGTCATTATGGCGGACTTTCTCCCGGCAATTACTATAAACCGACCGACCATAAATAGCCGGAAAACTGGTTTAATTCATTTAACGAGTTGCAATTTCCCCCCCCCCTTTATTCGACATCCAGCACAGAAAATTGCAATCACGATGTGAGAGCGAGAAAGACTTGAGCGGGTGCCGCCGCCAGTGGGAAAATGTCCACAAAGGAAGGCCCCCTAGGCAGGTAATTCTCGAGTGGATGTCGGTGCCAAAAAACCACAAACCAATAACCGGAAACACACTTCTTGTGCACCATTATTCTTGCACCTACCTGGCGGCTGCTGAGCTGAGCTAGCTGAGTGTGACAATGGCGTCACTTTTGCTCAATCGAATAGTGTCCGATGTCCATCAGCTGTCTTGTCGGTTTTTTTTTTTTGTATTCCTGTGTTGGATTCTGAGAGGTTGAGGTCAATCCAATTTAGTGGTTCCGGTGGGTGTCGGTGGTGGTTGGCAACCGATCAGGAGCAGACATGCGACTAATCGCACATTTGTATGTGCATAAGTACATGGAGTGCTTTTGACAGGTCGATGCAATAGAAACTGTGCCAATGGATTGTGAAATCGATGGTGGAAGTGATTATCTTGGATTTTAAGGGAACCTATGGTGCGGTTTGTCAGTGAGAAAGGAGTTGGAGTTAATTATGTCGGAGCAGTTTATTTTCTGAAAATGATCATCCAGGAATGTAATGCCATTAGTCAGTGCAAGTTTCTGGTTTTTTATCATTTACCGTCGCATGCAAGGAGTAGCGCTTCAACCCAGTGTAGATGAATTGCGTTTGTTTTGAAAATCTTCACTGTCACGTATGAGCGAATGAACTCATTTGAATATGCGTTTGTTGATACTGACTTGTGATTGATTATCCAACCCAAAATTTTCAAAATCAGAAGCGATCCTCGAAAGCAAAATAATCAATTTCATGCTGGGCAAAATTATTATTTTGAATATTGTCGACCCCAGAGTCTAAAATCTCGATATTATCATCAATTCAGTATGAGGCAATAATTTTCCATCGATACACACAGACCAACATACACATAGGCGTAGCCAGGGGGGGGCAGGGGGGCAACTGCCCCCCCCCTAATCGGTGGCATTTTTTTGAATATATTTTTTCCCTTTTATTTATTTTTTAGGTTACCCTTGATCTCTGCTTCGATGAAAAATCTAAAGGACACTCATAAATGTGTTTATGTTTATGTTTATTTTTTAAATAGTTTAATGGTCAGCCTGAATTGGAATAATAGACCATGTATCAACTGCTCTTTTCTTACAGTCTTATTCTCTAAAGATTGAAATCAACCCTGATTTTCGTAAATGTTTTACTCAATTAGATCTGTAATTAACTATTTTCGTTCAAAAACAAAGCTTCGAAGCAATTCTTTTTTCCTGTTAGTTTCACATTCACGAATATGGGCACTGTTTTATGTTTCATAGCATTGATCCTGAATTGAAGGGTATTTGATGTTACTCATGCTGAGAAACAATAAAACCGCTAATAACATACTATTTATAAGTGTATTTTGAACTATATGGCATGGTAATGGAATTTCGTGAGCATTTCGTTTCCATTTACGTCATAGAAAACTGTGCATTTATTTAATCTAATTTTCTGAAAATACATTCATTCATATTTTCCTATATTACCGTTTATACGAACCGGGTCACCAGATAGAAAGCACCTTGGATCACTCGCTGTATGAAAAGACGGTTCATTGACAGAAAATTCACCGATGAACTTTGCACCACTACATTGTCGGTATCGTTCGGTTCCATTTAATTGACGAGCATGTTAGTGCTGGTAGTGAAAGAAGTGCTTGTTGTTTGGTCGAATTGACCGGTTTAATTAACGGGTGTTAAGAACGCCTCGCAAATATCAGCAGATTTTTCTGGATTAAAATAGTTGTGCAGTGTTGTGAAAGAAACCGTAAATGGATATTCGGAAGTTTTTCAGCTGTCAGTATCTGACTGTTATTTTCAGCGTAATAAGAAATTAAAAAATTATTTAATTTTATGCTACAGCTAGCTCGAAGCGAAAAAACGAAAGCATTCCCGAAATAGGAAATGAGTTCCATTCAGCAGTATCTTCTACATCGTCCACTGATAAGGTGCTTGATATAGTACCAGGATTGGTGGGAAGCTCGCATATGGCATCTGGATCCGACGATGTTGGTAAGCATTTTCTTTTGCTTGTTTTTTAATTCGTAAATGATCACAACGGACCTCGCATCTTTGATTAGAACCAAGATTTATAAGGTGTTTCACTGAAAAAACCTCTTTCAAAAAATATATTTATTCAGTAATTTTTTGAGGTTGTTTTTGTAGTTTTTACATTTACATATCCTAATTAAAATGTACAAACAGTGACCCTTTAAAGTGTAGTTGTATTTGTTGTATTTTATATACACATCGGCTTTCCATGTTCAAAACAATGCATTAATTAAACATATGCTATATGCTCTCTATCGATAATTCAATCCACATCCCTTTCAAATCATCTTGCCTTAGGAGCGTATCTGCATTTAAATAGAGTTTTTTTTTTTTTATATATCGACATAATATATTCAACAGGACTGATTAACCAAATCCTACCTTCAGCGTATGACCCAAACTTAGCGCGCGAAATGCTATTCCTATTGGAGATGATTATGAAAAACTAACGCCTTGCTTAACAAGGCATGACATAGAACAACAAAAAATCCATAGAGCGAAAATAAGCGTTAAACACTTCTTGATAGAGCAAAGAGAATATGAAATAAAATCGGAGAGGCGGGAAACGCATTGTAATGAATAAAATTCATTCAGTATTTTAACTAACGGTTTGCTTTGATTTTCTGTTTGCAATGCAGTAAACCGGTTGCTTACGCTCCTGCGAACAAGAGCGGAAACTGTGTCAGTGTGAGAGAACTGAGAAGCAACCTTTTCCAGCACCTACCACCTAGAGTCGGTGTATAATGAGTCACGCCAAGAGAAAAACAGTTGAAATCGCATCACGGTTTTCGAAGGATTCCCTTTCTTTTCACTTGGCAACAGAGGACTTCTACATCAACTTCAAATGACTTCTAGCGAGAGAAAAAATATTGCGACTGTAGTAAATCATTATATCAGTGATTTTGTCTAATTACCTTAACAAAAAATAGTAGAAATTCTCATTACTAATCATTACCGAGCGTATCCCATGACAATTTAACGCTCAGTGCGTGCTTATGCTCATTTCTTCGATTATATTTTATATTTTATATCAATACCTTTTGTAGACCTTTCATAGCATCGTAATGTTTATTTACTTTGCACGATAGGTAGCCGGTTTGACAGTTCAATAGGTAGACTTGGCTTCACTCTTGGCGTGACTCATTATACACCGACTCTACTACCACCGAGTCATTTTGTTCATTCTCGTAGACTGATTATGTTTGTTATTTATTTTCTTCGAAGTGGTTCTCGTTCATTAGTTAGGTTCATTTTTTTTCTGAAAGATACGTACCCAAAGAACTGCCATTCGTTCGATAAGGATGACCATTCATGCGTTCACCTCGATTCTCAACTTAGAGGGTACGTGAACGAAAAGTACGTTAAAAAAGCGACTGATTGGTGAATTTGAAGAGCTAAGAATCTTAAATCAGGGGCCAATCGACCACCATCAAGTTTTTTTTTTTGTTAACATTTATAATTGCACGATTATTTGAAGGCTCGTTTTACAAAAATTACTAATAAAATCATTGATAAATCTACATTTTGAATTAATTTTTTGTTTGTTCCTGTGTAATTAACCGATAAATAAATAAATATTTCGCACACATATTAATGATATTGTTGTGTTATAATTAACATGCTTTTAGCATATTTTCTCCACGCTTAAGCGAGATAACAATAATTTATTAGACATTGCCATGAAAATCAACAAAACGATAATTTAAACAGCTATATTTAGCGGTCATGTGCACCAGTTTGGATAAAACAGATTTTTTTTAGAAGAATAGAAATTACTTCATGAGAAGTGATCATCCTGTTAAAATATGGCCAACATAAATCATTAGGACGTCATGCGACTATTTTGGAAGCTGTTCTTATATTATATTAAAATTTCAAAGTTTTCCCAGCTCTACATTAGAAAATTTTAAACTTTATCTTCATATGAAAACGTGATTATCCCGAACATAATTTCATTCCGAATTTCACATTTTTTTTTAAGTTTGGGAACTTTCCAACAAACTTGTGCATAGTGTTGCACAATCAAGTTTAGATTCATGAGAGTAATGGAGTCGTAGTCCGCAATCGGGGGCCCAAAATTTAGTAATTTTGTGTAGTCCGTGATAACCAATTTCCAAAGTTTGTGATCCAGAACATGGCCTCAAGCATAGCTTCAACATAATCCTATTGGCTTTGATTTTTTAGTTGAATAGTTATAATGAAATGCGGAACCAAATTGGATTGAAGGGATCTTTTTCGATACAAATGTTCGCCTTGATTTTGAAATTCTCCAATGAAACACCATCGAGATCTAGTGTTCTGAAGATGCGAGGTTCGACCTTTACGGATTAAATGACTTAATCAAAATGTTTACTATGCAGTTGCCTCGAAACGAAAACGTGATAAAATTTCCGCAATCGAAGATGAGCCTCAATCGACATCGTCTTCGATGTCTTTCGAAGTTGTTAAGGAGCTTGATGTGATACCCGTGTCAGTGGGGAGTTCCCAACACCAATCAGCACCACGTGATG